CGTTCGTTCCTTCCTTCCTTTCTTCCCCCTTACCCTTACGTTAGTTACTTCTACGACTACTTCTTACGTACGTACTTCGTCCGGTCGGTAGTAGCTCTCTCTCTCTCTCTCTCTCTCTCTCTCTCTCCCCTTGGTATCTCTGCTATCCGCCTGTGGATAGCTTCTCTGTCTCTCCCCTTGAACTCCTTTATAGTATATAACAGTTAACCTTATCAAAAAACAAAATATATCTGATACTCAATCCTAGCCTAGAAGATAGGTAGTTTTATTGTACTTTCCCCCGCTCTTTCTTTGATGCAAAGTTGCTGGACCTCTATGTGACCATTTACTATTCCTTTCTGCTGTTTCTTGCTTGGCTTCCGAATCTACTGCCATGCACTAACCTCATATTTCCCATGCTAACCATCAAACGTAATTTCATTCAAGAGTTCTTCATCCACACCCTTTTCCTTGTAGTGGATCACATGTCAAACTTTGACTAAACGCTTGGAATTGGCATCATCAGTGGTGTTTTACTTGTGTAGTCAACCAGATTCTTTACAATGAAATTATACTCGTCACTTATGGATCTTGTGTTAATATGTAAATCTGCATGGTCAGCATCCGAATAGGCTATTATATTTGATAAACTCTGAGAAAGAAATATCCTCTTTGGACAAGCATGAATATATCTTAGGATCCTTACAACTACATTTTTATTGGTTCTTTTTTCGCTTATGCATTAAGTAGCTTATTTTCCAACTGCATATGAGATGTACGTGCTGTTTAATATGAGATGGGTGAGACTATTAACTATTTGCCTGGTTTTTGTCACACCTGACAAATGTTGGATTTTTTTCTTTGTAAGCTTTTGATTTGTTGGGCATGACACCAGATCACGTTTCTTAGTGGGACAATGCGTATTTTATGTTTATATAAAAGTGCCTCTTTTCAACGTACTTCAGCTCCTAGAGAACATTCAAATTTCCTTCAATCCTGAATGACAAACGTTACATGCGAATGCGAAACATAGAACAATAGAGGGATGTATATATCAAGATAACACCAAAAAGATATACACCATACCTCGTACTTAACAGGAAATGGGAAAATGCCATATCTTAGGCTATCATTCCTTCTAACGAATGTCTACATAACTGCGAAGGGTCCCTTTGAGGATGTCCTAATTTGATTTAGGGAAACCAACAACCTGTTGCACCATTGAGTTGTTTCAACCCTCAGGATGCTTTCTTCAGCATGCAAACTAGCATTGTCTTTTGTTACTTTGGAAGGTCCATGTGGACTTCTTCACAAAAATCTCCATTGTTTCCATATAGAAAACGTTGGCCTTCCTTTTCTTGTCACTGCTGAAAGTTCAGATTGGATTGTAGCAATCTTAACAATTGGTGCAAAGGCTTTTAGAAAATCTATCTCACTTTCTTGATTCAAACCTTTGGCGACAAAACTTATTATCTGTCACTGGTGCTGTCCTGCTTAAATTCAACCTTGTACATTTAGTTGCAGTCAGCAGCTTGTTTCCCTTTGTTTAGTGGTACTGTAATCCCTAAGCTTGGACCAAAAACCACAATTCGGCGAGAAAAATGGAATAATGTTCATTAAGGTTCTAGGTCCCATACAAAAGTTAATATATGGCTTATAATAAACCCTTTGGCTTGTTTTCAATTAACCAAAAGTTCAACTGATATATATAGCATGAAGAAAATGACATACATACAGCATAAAGAAAATAAAAGTAGGCAAATTACAAATTGACCTTCCTACTATATCCTCAACACTCCCCTTAATGCATGTGTTTTAGTGCCACATTAGCAATTGTTCTTTGTGTTCCTACTCTCGGACATCAGTAATTGTTAATGTTAATGCATGCAAGACTTTATGCTATATTATCCTCCTACCTAGATTCTAGACTGACATGAGGCTAGAAGTAGAAGGGTCCAGTTGACTCTCAAGTGTTTTGGGGGGCTTTCTTTCTCTTATGGTATTGCTTCTTCAGGCACATCCCCTTGTTCCATTTTATCTTCACTAGTTTTAACAATGATTAGTAGTTTTGACCTTTTGTCAATTTCTAACGATGGATGGTAATAGTGTTTGAATATTTAACTCTTCTTAATGACCTGATCATTTAATGAGCTGAACAATGTTTCTTCCCAATTTCTGACTTCAAATGCGAATTTTCAATTTGATTTTTCCCCTTTTCTCTCTTTATGGTTATGAAAAGATAAAACATGTTAGCCCTCTACAATTTCTGGGTTTTGTTGATTGTTTCTGTTGGGGCTACAATTCATTGTCTCAGGAAGTTGAGCTAAAAAAGAAGCAAGAGGAAGAAAAAAAAGCAAAAGAAATGGAATCACAGGCAACCGAAAAGGATTCTGATTCAGAGCTGCTGCAAGTGAAGACTAGGTTAGAGGCCTTGGAAGAGACTGTCAAGGAAATTGTAGATGAAACTAGAAAAGCCTCGCATACCAACCAAGACATAGAGAGAGAAACTAGCAAACTTGCTCCCACGGATCCTAGTATCAAGGTAGATGAAACTATGAAATCCTCAAGTGCAAACCAAACCATTGAGAGAGAAACTAGCAAGCTTGTTCCCACTGATTCAGGTAGCAATAGTAGTGAAAGTAGTACTAAAAAGACACAAAGCTGAGTAGACAAAAACAGGGAGGAGGCGGGGAGACCAGATCCTTCAAGTAATGCGGTGCATGACCAAAAGAAACAGAGCGGCAACATAGAAAAAGGGGTGGCTTCTTCAGATTTGAAAAGATGATTCGGGAAATTATGCTTCTAATTTGGGGTAGAATGTTGGCCGTCTTCCCAGTTTTTTAGCATCCCAAATGGTATAGGTTGAAGTCTATATCAATTGAGTAAATTATTGGGCTCAAGTATTTTTATCTTTTGACACCATAAAAAGTGTACCAGAGAGAGGAAAATTAATAGTGAGAGAAAATGAAGACAGCTGGGAAGTGCTGAAGTATGTAGCTGAAGGCGACTACAAGTTTGATTGCACCAATGATGATACCCTGTGCAAACTCATTCCTCGTAAAGGAAAGTAGAGATTTCAAGCACGTTTGCAGCACATTTTCATACCCATGGCAAAAATATCTAATGTTTATCATGAAATTTTTTTCTACATAATTCAGAAGAGTCTATAGAAATCCATGAATGTTTATTCCTCAATTTCATTTGCATTATGCTACAACGGCTGGGTTCCTGATTTTAATTTGCTCTATCTTATACCCGTGGCAAAAATATCTAATGTTTATTCTGAAATATTTTTCTACATAATTCAGAGGAGTCTATGAAAATCCATGTATGTTATTTGCTCAATTTCATTTGCATTATGCAAAAATGGTTGGGTTCCCGATTTAAATTTGCTCTATCTCACTTGAGTTGTGCGCATTCACTGTGAGTCTTTCTGCTTTATTGTTTTTGGTACAAGTTCACTTCTGGTTACTTTATATGCGTGCACTTGTTTCCTGTTCAGTTCCTATGATGCTTCTTAAAGCTGTCACCCTGTATCTATGCCATTCTGATGTATTGTCTATGGAAGCACTGTTTAGGAGTATTATCAAGAAAAAAGATTAGTGGTTTGCAGAAATTTAATTAGGGGAAAGTATATTGTTCATCCATACTATAGTATATGAGACATCGACAACATCTTTCTCCTGATGAATGGTAGGAGATAGCTTGAGAATGGACTAGCACAAAATTATTCTCCAACAATCTATTGCTGCTGGTGGTTCCGGAATCGATGTCGTGTGTCATCCTTCCTCATATGACTGAAGCTGGCAGACACTGAACTGATCAGGTTGCCGGTTCGGTTGGAAGATGTTTTGGATGCATTTCAACTGACCCTTGGTAAACAGAGTCGCCTTAAAATTACTTGCTTGGCATTCTACTATAGAATGTCGAGCAAAAATACAGTCTACAATGCCAGACGAGAACACAATACATAACAGAGATTGTCTAGAATGAAATTATTTATCTTTGTTACAATGAGGTCACAATTGCTACTAGTTGTTATTAGATGTCAAAAGGGATGGATTGGGGTGTGTAAGTTCGAGAATTTTTTTTTAACTTTAAGCTTATTCAATGACACTCACAATCACCCGATTTGAATATGAATGACCAAGATCTCCTTGTATTAAAAGCAAATGGTCTCTTTATATAATTTTCCTCTATAATATTTCGCACTATATAGAGCATCTAAACAGCCAGTCTTGGAATCGTTTAATGCGAATCATACATCATTAACTGACGGTTTTTTATTTTAATGTTGTTGGTGTCCATGAATTTGACCATTTTGTTGCACAAAAAAATTCAATGGTTTTAAGACTTGATCTTGGAAAAAGACTTGATATTGGAAAATTGTCTACAGGCCACGCTACCACTACCACCCATGCGAGAGAAAATGATTTCCATTATTTATCTAAAGGACCCAGTTTCTACGTGGCCATGCTTGCATATGCAGAAATACGGACCTCTTATTTTTTAGATGGATTTTAAGACTTAATTTTTAAGAACTTATGAGATGGATTTTAAGACTTAATTTTTAAGAACTTATAATCTCTAACATGGAGATCATGAATATGAATAAATAAATAAATAAATTTTAAAAAATAAAAATAATAATTTTAGTAAGAAAACATTTGGATTGTTAGTTTCCATTGTTTTTAGATGGAACACCTACTTGCATCTATCTTTAAGATGGATGATTTACGCCTTTTAGATCGCATATGTAGAAATGTGGTCCAGCCCACATGAAACAATTTTCTTTATCTAAAAAAGGCAGCATACTGTAGGTCAAATGTAGTGGAAACACGGTCTCTCTCTATCTCTCATCGTTGATCATTTCATTTTATGGTCCTGCGACATGACCCACTTAGTCAACGGTCTTTTTCCATAGTCCATTTAAATATAGGACAAAAAGGACTTAAATGTCTTTAGAGTCGATCATCTACCACTGATGAGAGAGTAGGAAAAAGTTTACAAAGCTCGAAACCTTGACATATAGAATTAAAGTGCACCTCAAGAATCCCTCAAAAAATGTTTGTATTTTTGTTGGGTAAATCAAAAGACCAAAAAAAAAAAAAAAAAGTAAAGAAAGAAAGAAAAAAAAAAAAAGGAACAAAAAAAAAAAAGAAAAAAAAAAAAAAGAGAGAAAGGTTGTTTTGATGTTGGAAAAACGTCTAATTGATCATCTCGACATAGATGTAGTATGGATTCGGAAAAAATAAAGATTTAAAGCTTTAAAAATAGTATATCTTGTAACACATTATCTAGGCCATCCATTTCCAAGATTTCCATATGTATATAAATCCGCTTGATTTGAATCATTTTTTAAATTAAAATTTTATAATTAAAAATAAAAATAGATTATGATGTCATCCTAAAAAATTTCGACACCAAAATTGCATCTTATGACAAAGTTTGGAGGTGCATCTTACTTTTGATTCTTTAAGATTGTAACCCTTTACAAACCACATCGGAGAGAGTAAGCAAACGATTTTAATTCTCAAATTAGGAGAGAGTGAATGTCTTGGTTTCCATGTAGAAGCTCCACATACATCGGCTAAAGATTTCCATGAGAGAAGCAATTATTTTCATATGAACTTGCATAATCGTTTTCAACTCCATTATTTCATGTACCATTGTGGTATAACCAGGCAATATGAAGCAGGGAGTTTTGAGGACTTGTTAATAGATATATGCGGTGAGAAAGGCAGGGAAATATGATTCCTTTACGACCCATTGAAAAATATAAGGAAAAATCCTTACATTGTTTCTTTTTTTTTTTAGTTGTCTAGAGCCTTTATTTTCTAAATTAGTGTTAGACATGCATGGCCTTTTGCTTCATAGTTCATACAAGTGTTTGCAAACTCGGCTGATCCAACTCGGAACAGGTCGGTAAAACCGGAACCAAGCACTGGCTCATCCGGTTTTGGTGGTCTTCCCTAGTATTTTAAAAGAATATATAAAATTCCAAAAAATAAGAGATTTGTTTGTAATGTATTTTTAAAATATTTTTCTTTTTTATATAATTTTGGCAAAGATTGTGACTTGTTTCGGCCATGAATACTTATTTTTATATATTTCTATTGTTTATAGAAATTTTCAAAAAAACCTTTGGGCACAAATAGAATTTTTTAACATTTATTTTTTTTGCTAATTTTCAACTACATTTGGATGTACGTTGTTTAATCATAATTTATATATACTTTTCATTATTATTATTTTATTTCTTTTTAAAAAAAAAACTTTTTGGACTTGGCCATGACCTGCCCGATTAGGCCAGTCGGAACCGGTCATTGCCCGGTTTTTGAAGGCTGGTTAGATTTTTTGAACACTGGTTCATACCATGGTTATAAAACTTGCTAACCATTTATTGAGCATGGCAAGTTCATCTAAAATCCATGGATTCTTAGAATTTAGCCGAAGAATGGCCAAATCCATAACATCCCAAAAGAATGGATAGATGGTGGGTGACTGTTGATGAAGAGATGCAAATTGCAGGCATTGATTTCACACGGATCGATCAAATAGTATGCAATTTTTATGAAGATTGTGATGTGGGCAGACATATACTTCCCCAAGTTGACTGTGTGTGTCTCTCACAAACTTGCTTGCACACTGCAAAGAGGGGAAAATCATATTCGCCATAAAGGTATTTTATCTCATCCATATGTTATACACCGACTGTTTACGAAAGAAATATGTGGCGTTTTAATCTCCATCGTCAGTAGCTGTAAATTGATGGTGATGGCTCTGTTGGGCGATAGTGTTACCCATGTTCTTTGCATTATTAACATGATAGATGGATTCTCCAATAGTAGGAAAGAATTGACATGATCCATTGGGGGTCTTTTTGACTGTAACATTTGTGGAGCATCCTGGTTTATGTGAATTTAAGTTGTCTACCACATAATAACAAACTAAATCCAAGCCTCGGAATACTGTAAGCTGTGGATGGAGAGAGAACAAATAAAATCCAAACTCCTGAATATTGTAAGCTGTGGGTGAAGAAGAAAGATGGGCTCATCTCCCTTGGCAAGAGGATTCGACAATATCATTGAATTGGGTAATAAAATTGATTTATTTCTTCTGAAAGCCCTTTCCAGACCTCGCCAAAGATATGATAGTTGCCAAAATATTAACCTAGATATACGTTGCTATTTTCAAATTTCGCAAAATGCAAATGACCATAACTTACACAATAGTACCTATTCGAACTCAAATAAAATATGAACACCATCTCAACCATGAATTTTTAACATCGAACAAATAGTATTTAGTTTGAAATCAAAATGGAACTTAACTAAAATCATTTGTATATCTAGTATGCCCTTCCCTTTAAACCTACTCATTTTTTATAATTATTTGGAGGCCCAAGAACTACCGTTCACGTGAACTAGCCATCCAGGAATCGGTCCTGATCAGCAAATGGCCAATCTAGAATGACAATCCCGCCAAAAGAATCAGCCAGTAGAAACTAAATAAAAGAAAGAAAAAAAAAAAGTGGTAACCAAATCGCGTGGTTCCTTGACAAAACCAGGCAATTCCCTGTTCCAATTAGATACAGGCCCAGTAACCACCTATTCGCAATCCAAATTGAGCAACTTCAATCCAGATCGCAAGTGTTTAAATCACTACTGAGAACCCATTCATCATATTGGTGAAGGTACAAGCTTCATAGAGCCATGAGTTCATAGTACTTTGCAAAGTCATACAAAAAACACCACAAAAAAATGCAGTTGAAGGGCATGAAACCGTGCAATGGTCAACCAAATATATCCTCCAGTTATGGCCCCAAAAAATGAAACAAATTTTTTACTTAGTCAACTCTTAAAATGGATAATCCAAAAAACATATTACAAGACAAACCATCTTTAGAGCATGAAATTTGTTTGGTTGATAGCAAAAGAACTGCAATTTCCAACAAGATTTAATTTGCAGCTTGAAACATGAAGCGGCGGGCATGGCCATGATATCAAGGGTATGACAAATATAAAACATGTTTGCACGCATGCTTTCCATAGGAGAACGTCGATAAAAACTATGCACAGCATAAATTTTACATTCAATTATTTTGGACATCAAATATCAGAATATTTGAAGCTCTATGCAATTTCTAACTATTATCATTTTCCCTCTAGAAAACCAAATAATCAAGGGAAGGATTGCATTTCCTGCAATACACAGACATCACACCAAGCAGTTGCTTTTTTCTTTTATATGGCCGTCACACCAAGCAACTGCTTTAAAAAAACTGAAATTACAATCACCAAACAGTTGCATCTATAACGAAAAAGTTAAAAACACTTGGTTAAGACCCTCTCAACAAACAAAAGAATCATAAATATAGTCTCCCTTAGCATCACAATCTAATGGCAGAGAGAACAAATTATTCTATAAAAAGCAATGGTCTTAACAGTGAAATCCTTAACTGCCACTCCCAAAGCAAACACAATTCACACTTTCCACAAATTATGTATACTGGTATATCTGACAAAGCTTTTCTCTATGCTTGTACCGCAGTGAGGCTACTGTCTTCCATCTGCACAGAATCCTACAAAGAAGTAAAGCACATGGATGTTATTAATGGTGAGGAATAAAACACTCGAGGAAAGAAATGAAATTCACAAGATTTCACTCAAGAACAAGGGAAATAAAGAAAGCAAAAATAATTGACAAGCAAAAAAAATTACCGAAATTGACAAGCAAAAAAATGATTTACTGATATTGACAAGCAAAAAAAATTACTGCCATGGTGAAATAATGAAATACCCTGGGGCCGTTCTTCACTCTTTAACAAGGGTGTTAAAGGCCAAAAGAATAGGCTTCTAGGGGGGAAAAACAAACTTTTAAATCATGACTGAAAAACATCATATTAAGTATAGCAAATGGATGATCCAATGTTTCAAAACGCAATAGAAAAGCAAGCCAGGATGAAAAAAAAACATAAAGAAAACACACTTGCTAATAGCAAATCTGAGTTAACCATTCAAATTAAATAGCACACGAAAAGTAACAAGAAATAATGGAATGTTAATGGATAATAATATCACCAATAACTGGGCTGTTATTTAAGGACAAATATATCCAAATTCCAAAATGTTTAAAGTATATTGAAAAAGAAAATTATCAGAAAGTGGGTGCATACCAAGTTCTCTTTATCTTCCCCCTGAGGGACCAGACTCATCACAGGATCAGCTGAAGCTGCAGGAGAAAGAAAACAAGAAGCAATTAATACATGAATCAATTTGCCATCAAAACATAACATTAACAGTTAAAGAGAAGGGTATTTAGTCCAAGTTAGCACGTTGATAAATAACAAAAATCACATATGCAATAGTTCTAATAAAAAAAAGACAGAAAAACCATAGAGAAATAACAAAAACGTCATACTAAATTTGTAAGTAAACTGAATTATAGAGCTATCAGCTAAGAATGGCAAATATTAGATAAAGGTTGATCTTCATAGAAAATATCGTAGGAAACAGAAAAACGAGTAAAATATAAAAGGATTTGAAGGAAAATTACCCTTATCGACAGTCTCCTTCTTTGCCGAACCCTTGTTCTTATCTCTAGCCAGATCGCGTCGGGTAGTCCTCTGTGAAGTCTTCTGAGAATGAGTATCAGTTGAAGCTCTCAAATTTGCAGAGCTTCGAACAAATGAAGACCTGTTGCTTTTCACTGAAGCATTTCTCTTACCAATCGCATCTTTCTTTGCACTAGCAGATTCAGTAACTGAGTTATTTTCCATGGGCTCAATGTTTAGACTTTTGGGTTTCAAATTCCCATCAGTGATTGAGTGAGAATCATCTTCTTGAACAAGAGAACTTGTCTCGGAGCTAGGAGATTGCACCAAATTTTCAGAGACTTCATAGAGTTGAAGAACATCTTTGGTGAGTTCTCCAAGATCAGTGAGAAGGTTGTGTCTCTGGATGTACAGTTTCAGTTCATCTTGCATTCGATGCAGAGGCTGAAACAAAATCAGAGTGTCAATAAATGGGGACCGAAGATACTCGCCCATTAGAATAACAAAAAAATGTGACAATTTCCTTGAATTTGGCAGAAGTTGCTATAATCTGGCATTGTGGTCTACACAAGTAATTATGATGAATACAAAAATATTAAATTGCATAGGGAAAAACACAGTGGGGGAGAGAGACAGACCTCACAGCCAGCGTCAAGTGCAAGCTTGAAGAAACCCAACGAGATTGAATGTTTGGAAGCAGATTCAGATAGCTTGATTTGAGAAACCCAGTAAGAATGGGAGGATAACACATTGAATTTCTTTCTTGCAATAGACTTTGAGGCATCAGAGGCAGGGGTGTCGCCCTTTCCTTGATTGGTTGCGGTTTTCTTGGCCCGAGTTTCTGAAATTGGAGTTATTCCACCCCCCAATTTTGATAAAGGACTAGCAATGCTTTTTGAAGGAACAGAGAGCCTTCGAGGTGGTTTTGTGGTCTTTTCTTTGCCTGAAAAGTCGAGCACGCTTACACTTTTGCTCACATTTGAGACGGGTTTCTCCCTGAATAAACATTGAAGGAAGAACAGTTAACCTTTTGCTTTGAAGTAAATGACAACATATTGAGAGATTATTCTTTGCTTCCTATTTTTCACAAGATTTAACAAAAAAAAGGTTTGTGTTTCTAACTGGGTTTCAATTTTGATCAGGATAATGGAATCAATGGATACACATATCACAGAGGGACAGAGAGAGAGAGAGAGAGAGAGAGAGAGAGAGAGCAAGTCCATATAGGGATAAGAACTGATTCTTGAAACCATGTCAAAATTTAATGGGCATAATCACGATTTTAATATGAAGTTTAGAAAATACAGGGATCACCTCTTAGTTGCAGATGATACTTTAATATCAGCCTGTGATTTATCCTCCTTTGCTTTACCAGCTGAACGCAGTGGATATCGCAATCTTGATTTCATAGATTGAGCTGTGATATCAAAACAAAAGGAACCAATCACTACGGCATTTCAGAGAAATAGAGATGGATAGATAGTTAATGAGAGAATGAGAGAGAGATTATTGACCAAAATAAAATAGAAACCCTGATGAGGAAAACAAAGTGTAAAGAAACAAAGAAATGAAAACTATGAAAAGAATTTCCGAAAAAGGAACAGAAGAAAAAGCAGATTAGAGCCAAAAATACACATTTATAATCAGAGAGAGAGGGGCGGGGGGATGGTGCATTTTACTGTATCCGCATCCCATCACAGTGGAGAGGGGAAAAATAGCAGGTCATCCTTTTTAATATACAAAAACCGATATAAAGAAAAAGGCAATATTTTTAGATGATGATACAGAATAAAAGAGAGATAGAAAGAGAGAAAGGAGGAGAATAGCAGATCCTCCTTTATTGATATACAATACCAAATATAAAGAAAAAAGCCCATTTTTTTAGATCATAATAGAGAGTAAGAAAGAGAGAGAGGAAGAAGCAGACGATCATCGTACAGCACAATACAAACTACGTAGGGAAGAGAGAGAGAGAGAGAGAGAGAGAGAGAGAGGAAGTAAAGTAAAGTCGTACTAACTAATAACTACAGTACTACAACTAACTAGAGAGAGAGAGAGTAGGAGGTATACATAATAATATTATTAGTAGACGAACCTAAAGTAAAG